GGGGTGGATGACATTGGGGGAGGGGGGTAAGGGGGGGCGAGATGGATATTATTTCCCATTCTCATTAAATACACATAACACAATAAACATAATTGGGCAGTGTGTATACTACTACTTTTCTATACATAATTCAGCCTCCATCTCAACCTGCACCCCCGCTTTCTTTCATCAGTATTTTTGCTATTTGGATTCAGATTTTTTTCTTTTGAAAATTTGATATTTTTTAATAATCTTATTAAAGTTGATATTTCGAAATACTAATAAATTAGATATATAAACCCCTGATATCTTGATACTGTATAAATATATAATATATATATATAAATATATCCCGCACATGCTCTGTGAGACTGTTAAGTCCTAACTTTATGCGTATATATAAAACACAAGGAGTTAAACTATAGTCGTTCACGGAGCTATAGCTAGCAACTCAATAGATACAGAGTGATTCAGAAAATATGAATCTTAAAAAATTATGTTTCCTTTACAGTTTAAGAGATTAATCAGAAAATTAATGAGCAAAAAAGAATTGTATCTAAAACGAATTATTTTTAATGTGTAGTTTATCAATATATTATCTAAATCAAATATTTGCTCGAATAACTTCTATTTCAGCCATAAATATCATCAGAAGAAAGATGAGCGGAGAGTGCAAAATAATAACAGGTCAAGAAGTACATTATATATTTATAAAAAATAGTTGGTCAAAACTCAAAATGCACATATATTTATAAAAAATAGATGGTCAAAACTCAAAATGTACATATATTTATAAAAAATAGATGGTCAAAACTCAAAAAAGTACATAATATTTATAAAAAATAATTGGTCAAAACTCAAAAAGTATATAATATTTATAAAAAATAGTTGTTCCAAAACTCAAAAAAGTACATAATATTTCTAAAACATAATTGATCAAAACTCAAAAAGTGTATAATATATATAAAAAACAATTGGTTAAAACTCAAAAAGTGTATAATATATATAAAAAACAATTGGTTAAAACTCAAAAAGTGTATAATATAAATAAAAAACAATTGGTTAAAACTCAAAAAGTACATAATATTTATAAAAAATTGTTGGTCTAAACTCAAAAAGTACATATTATTTATAAAGAATAATTTGCCAAAACTTAAAAAGTACATAAATTTTATAAAAAAAGTTTGTTATTTACACTTTAAACTTTGTTTAACCAAACAGATCACAGTTTAAAGGTTTACACCGTTAGGTTGCAAAATTTTAGTGATTAATAAATCAAATTTTATGATTATATTAATTCCTATAATCTTACATTTGTCATATAATACACCCTTTACAATAGTCAAATGTTTAAAAACTTTAAAATCAAAATAATCGTCCACTTTTAACCCAAAAACCCCCTGGTACGGATTATACCCCCCTGGTACGGATTATACCCCCCTGGTACTCCCGATTTAAAAGTTTTACGCCTTTAAAGAATTAAATCAGAAAGCTAAAGCTTGGGTTGTTTATAAATGCACTATTACAGGAAGAAAGGAGAAATGGGTGGCTTAGTAACAAAGTATGTATTGTATTTATAAACTTTTTATATCTTTTCAGATCAGCTTCTTAGGGATACCGTCTCAGAGAGTGATGTGGAAAAACTTAATCTCAAAAAGTCCTCGAAATATTCAAAACTAAAACAGGAACGTTTTTGGATGGGCATTTAAAAGACTTTTTTAGATTTAATAATAATTACAAACGGTATCTAATTTTATTATTTGCTAATTTAAAAAGGATAAGAATTGTTAAGCTGGCCCACTTTTAAAACTAGATATTCTTTGTTTAAAAAAAAGTTCGAAAACAGTTATATTCTTTTATAATAATCATACTAAAAAATTTAATCAAATGTAGAATAACAAAACTTTTGTTTACAACAATATATTTCATTTAATTTTTCTTTTAATTTCTATATATAACTGAAACCATAAATTTTTTTTGGAAAAATTCTGAAAAAAATCGGCCAAAAAAAGTTTGCAACTTTGTCAATTTCTGTATATAAGAACAATTTCAATGCACTGCAAACTTGACAGAAGAAGGAGGTCAAATTTACATTTACAATTTTACTGGTTCGACCTTTTCACCTCTTAGCTCCTCTAGCTTTCATTTTAAGAGATAAAAGCAAATTTATCTGGTTACATACAGAAATCCAAACCATTTAATTGTTTTTCTTAATAGCTCTTAATAAGAGGTGATTGATTAAAGAATATACAGAGGGTCCCATACCATATTAGATTATCTCCAAGTTTTAACGCCAAAATAAAACCATAATAATCGAAAATTTCCGCTCCGTAAGAAAATTCTTATATTAGCCTTATTTAATTTTCTAAAATGATACATTCTTCTTAAATCTTCTGATTAGTCCCGAAAACCGTAATTTAGACCCATTGACGATCTAATATGATGTGGGACACCCTGTATGATATAGTCTACATTCTTTGATTATAAATTTAATAATTTTGTATCTTCTTAATTATTGTTAGATTTAAATGAGCACATGTTGAGGCTGGGAGACCAGTTTTGCGGGGCCTGGAGGTAATTCTGCAAATCCTGAGGCTCGGAGGTCATTTTTGCGGGGATCATGGCGCCTTTGCACCCCCTCCCTCATCATGCAGACAATGATACATTCAACTTGAAATTGTATTCTTCTATAAACAAAACGTAGAAGACAAGTTTTAAGGCATTCTTACTTTTAGGCTTTTTGGGATGGTAATGATTTTGGGAAGAAGGGAGGGAAGGGGCAAATGATTAAGATTTTGGAGAAAAATGTATAGAAGTAGGTAAAAATTAACAATTTTCGCGTGATCAAAATTTAATTTTACCATTAATCCGAATTTAATGAATTTAAGCCGTGTCTCAAATCCCCCAAAAGCTGGTTTTGATTTAAATCTTGAAAAATTGAATTCAATTTTAAGTAGAATCAACCATATTTAAGCCCCATCTCAAATTTTTTAAATTTGGTCTCATGACGCTGGATTCACAATGTTACCATTCACCCCTTCATTTGATCAATAATCAGTAATGTGAAATACACTTTTCTAGTTTGAAAAGTGTTTAATTCTGACAATATTAGTTTCTAAAGAAGAATTGCGCAGGTTACTTTATTGAAAAACCGCACAATTAAAAAGAATTAATTTTTCAAAGAGAAACTAATGAAAATGAAATTATAGTCAAAGGTTTTGATTTTGTTCCTTATGATCCCTGAAACTGTTGTTGATGTAGTTGTTGGCTGGTTTGAGTGCTACCCTGGGCTGCTTCATGAACGGCCTAGTGATGGGGTACACGGGCCCCGCCCTACCCAGCCTAACCAACAGGGATATCATACAAACTAAACTTTTTCAAAAATTTAATTTAATGAGAAATCGTTTAATGAAAGGAACTGCATGATCACTGCCCTTAATATTTTTGCAACTTGAGGATTTTAAAGCATATTTTATAGAATGAAATGTACACCAAAGACCTAAAACATCTGTGTCCGAATTTAATGAATTTGAGCCGCGTCTTTAATCCGCCAAACCCGGTTTCAATTGAGCGTCGGCTTAAATTTTGAAACATTGAATACAATTTTAAGTGAAACCAACCATATTTGAGCGGCGGCTTAAATTCAAGCCGCCGCTCAAATTCTTAAAATTCGGCCTCAGGTTGGAAAGATAAATTTTTTTTTTTTAATTATGTCCTTAATTAGATTTTATTTTCGCATCACAATTATCATGATTCATGACCAATTAGCATCCATACGCAGCCCAAGAAAATAATACAAAATTCAAACGGCAATTCTTTTTATGTTTTTTTTTTAATTGAAGCCGCTTCTATCCAACTTAACCCTATCACTGCTAGGGTACGTGAAAACCAGGATTCGCTCCTAAATATGACAAATGATACATCATTGGAAAGCTCTTATGCTCTTATACTTTTAGAATTTACAAAAAACTTTGCAAATTTGCAAAAAAAATTTTTTTTTGCAAAATACAGTTTTAAAGTAAAAATGCTTGCAAAAAAATGTTAAAAAAATGACAAAACATACATTTTTGTAAAGCCCTTGATCATTTTTTTTAAATACGCAAAAATGTTTACAAAATTTTAAATAACCTGATGTGTAATTAAGACAAACTAAAAATGTGCAAATTTCTTTTGACGGGTTGTATGTTAATAATTTGCCAAAATGTCTTTGCAAAACTTGTGCAATCCGTTTACTTATTTCATAGGCTTTCCAAAAAGCTAAGATTACTAAAATCTGACAACTGAAAGTGTTTAAAACGAAGATTTAGTTTGTTACAGGAAAAGTAGTCATTCAGGCAGTGTGCCTGAGGACTCAGGCAGTTAGTATAAAAGCCCTGTTTTAGACCTAAAAGAAGGGCTTTGGATATTTAGGACAGTCAGAAAATGTCAACAGCCTCAGACCAATACTTTTTAGGTTATGTTAAAAACTACAGGGGGGGGGAACGTTTTACTTGACCCCCACCCCCAACAGAAATAGGGGTAAATTATGCATGCTATATATACGTTCGTATTACTTTTATAATTGTTCATTAGTTTTTTAGTTTATAATAGTTCTTAATTTGCCGGTATATTTTTCTTAGTTGTTTCATCTTTTCAAATATTACTGGCATTATTTTTAAGATCTTTCTACAGTTTCTTTAGTCCTGCTGCTGAAAATAATAAAAAAAAACTTGTAAAGAAACTGATTACTCGTCTAAAACTTTAGTTTTCTGAATAATCTTATATTTTATTATATCGTAAATGATAAATCTACCAGGTACAAAAGTTTGAAAAGATTAAGCTTTACACTATCAGGTTGCACAGATATGGGGATTAGAAAGATAGAGTTTGAGGCAATACTCAATTATATTCTTGTTTGTTTGTTGTATGTACACTGTACAGTACAGGAGATGGAGGATTGAATATCTTGAACGTAAAGATGAATATTGATTACCAGCAAGGCAGCTGGATAGGTAATATATGTACACTGTACTGCACTTCTAAGGGACACGCACGCCGTACACGGTGCACGGTACACGGTAGACAATTAAGATGAGTATTGATTACCAGCAAGGCAACTGGATAGGTAATATATGTACACTGTACTGCACTTCTAAGGGACACGCACGCCGTACACGGTGCACGGTACACGGTAGACAATTAAGATGAGCATTAATTACCAGCAGGGCAGCTGGATAGGTAATATATGTACAATGTACACCGTACACTTCACAGTATACAGGGTTCACGGTACAGAATACACAATTAAGATGAGTTTTGATTACTAGTAGGGAAGCTGGATTGGTAATATACTGTGTACTGTACAATGTACATTACAAAGTACACACGGAACACTGTACACGGTACGTAATAAAGATGAGTATTGCTTACCAGTAGGGAAGCTGATTAGGTAATATATGTAAACTGTACAGTGTACATCGTTCAAATCTGAATTTGGAATTGTAAAATTTATTTCTGAAAAAAATGATTTCTTAGTTTGATACTCTTAAAATTACAGCTTTTGTGTTGTTTGTGCTTAAAGAAATCATGAACAAACATATTTTTATTATAGAATATATATTATTATAGAATATATTTTATTATAGAATATATATTATCATAGAATAGGTCCTGAAAAAAGGTTGCTTTGATGTACAATATGACGTTTAACATTTTTCTGTGACATTCAAACAAAATTTAGAAGCCTTAAAAAGCAAGATATTCAAATATTTCCTAAATGGTTTCGTGCATACATTTCAAATATATCAAATATATTCGCGAATCTCAATGATTTAAATTTTTTATAAATGTCAGAATATAAGATTTTAAGAAGAACAAGGTTTTGTAATATCGTAATAGACGAAAAAAAATGATGAAATAAAAATTAAATAATAAATTTTTCGTCTTCCTTTCTTTCATTTAAAAGAAGAACATAGATTTAAAGAAAGAGCATAGATGACACTCTTTCCACATTTGTAGGTCAATACTGTTTGTAAATGTATTATAATTTTGGACATTGCGGATTACATTTTGATTTTCTTAATATTTTCTTATTTTTGTTGTTGTGTAGGGCGGATGCGTGGACTAGCATTGGATGATGTAACCTGTTGACTTAATTAATCTCTTTATTTATTTCAGCTGGTCTAGTATCTATTGGTTGTCTGGTTGGTAGTTTATTGGCTGGACCTGTTATGGAAAAATATGGAAGACGATTTTCCCTGATAGTATGTTCCAGGTCAGTAAAATATAATACAGTACAATACAGTTTAGTACAGTGCAATACAGTACAATACAGTACAATACAGTTCAATACTATATAATACAGTACAGTACAGTACAATAATGTACAACGTAAATTGCAGTACTGAAGAAGTACAGTACAGTACTGTAAAGTACAGTACAGTACAGTACTGTAAAGTACAGTACTGAAAATTACAGTACTGTAAAGTACAGTACTGTAAAGTAGAGTACAGTATAATACAATACAGTACAGTACAATACAGTACAGTACATTACAGTACAATACAGTACTATACATTATTATACAGTACAATACAGTACAATACAGTACAATTCAGTACAATTCAGTACAATACAGTACAATACAGTACAATACAGCACAATACAGTACAATGCAGTACAATACAATACAATACACTGATATACAGTACAATAAAGTAAAATACAGTACAATACAGTAAAATACTGTGCAATGCAGTACTATACAGTATATCTACAGAACAATACAGTACAATGCAGTACAATACATTACAATAGAGTTCAATACAGTTAATTTGTAGTGGTAACTACTCACAACTGAATTTCTGAGTTTGAGTCACAAAAAATATATTTCTTAAAATTGTATAAATTCAACTCAAGAAAACAACTGAGTTCTGGTCACAAACTCTGTTTTTCTAATCCCTAATCTGTGCAACCCACAGGTTGAAATAGATATGGGAATAAGAACTCGGTACATTAAATATATATTTTTTTAGTGGATCATTTTGTTTTGGATTCTTTCTAATGTTGTTTGCTAGCTCCAATGTTCTGCTTTATATTGGGAGGTAAACTATGTTTTCTAATGTCGTCTTCAATTTCATAGTTTTCTTACAAAACATGACAGTTGGAAGACGACTTGAAGGTTGTCTCGTCTTTGCTTTTTGATAAAATTTTCTGCATTTACATGTCAACCTTATTTTAGATGTGAAATTCTAAAGTTAACAGTCTCAAACTTTAGTTTGTGGTCTGCCCTTGCTGTTCTTTTAATATTACCGGAGATACAGAGCGTCCCATATTATATTAGATTATCTCCAATCTTTAACGCCAAAATACGCACATAAAACTCGAAAAATCTAGCATTTTCTGAAAAAAAATTTCTATTAGCCTTATCAAATTTTTCAAAATGATTCATTATTCTTAAATTTTCTGATTTGTCCCCCAAATCGTAATTTAGCCCTATTGACGCGGTCTAATTTGATGTGGGACACCCTGTATGAAGAATTTTGGTTTTATTTAACAAAATTGAAACCTTTACGAAATTATTAATATCTCTGTTAATATTGACAGAACAAAAAAAAGTAGGCTACATTTTGGATATGCCAGATTAGGAGACTTTCGTGGTTTGTTTAAGAATCATACGTAGGTTAAAGTAGGTTGACGACTAAATGGGACATATAACTAAAAAAAACAAAGACGACTTTCAAGTATGATGTAGGTTCTGAAAAAGATTAAAAACCGACCAAGGTTTAAAAAACAACAAAACATGTTTTTTGTATAATTATAGAGGTTTCCCACAAAGGATGAGACTTCAGAGACGACTGTAGGGAATTTACACTGTATTATTCCCTTCAACAACTGTAAACTTCTTGTTTTCATTTCACAAAAAGACAAAGTTCAGACCAGAAGACGTTATTTTAATCTTGGAACCGTCATGACTTAATTCAGAGCAGAAGACGGTATTTTAATCTTGGAATCGTCATGACTTAATTCAGAGCAGAAGACGTTATTCTAATCTTGGAATTGTCATTACTTAATTCAGAGCAGAAGACGTTATTTTAATCTTGGAATCATCATTACTTAATTCAGAGCAGAAGACGTTATTTTAATCTTGGAACCGTCATTACTTAATTCAGAGCAGAAGACGTTATTTTAATCTTGGAACCGTCATTTCTAATGAATTTCAGTTCGTTCCATTACAGTTTAATCCTGGTGGGTAACCAGCTGTAGGTATCTATCATGAACTAATCGTTTCAAAAATCTTTGTGTTTTGTTTTTCTAGGTTACTAAATGGAGTTGGACTGGGGTTTGTGATGGCAACTAGTTCAGTTTACATAATTGAGATCTGTTCTCCGGATATGCGCGGACTTCTGGGTTGTTTTATTCAGGTTTACATTTCTGCTCTAGGTCAGAACTTTTATGTTTTGAATCTTGGAATAAAGCATTCTCAATCTCAATATGAGAGAACTTCGATTGATCATTAATCATACAGCATATTGATCTCCATTTTTTAGAGTAAATTAAGTCGTCGTCGTTAATATCAATACAATGAAGACGACTTTCATTTTGATGTCTACCCAGCTTTGCAAGCAGCATGGATACAAACGTGGAAACAAAAATAAACTGTCAATCACCAGCTTCTCTTTGTTTATTTGTAAACATGTAATTTGAAAAAAACTTGTTTGAAATAGAAACTTTTAAAAAAAATGCTCTTCATTGTATTGAAATAAACGAGGACCACTGTTCGAAAATTTGAATATGAACTAACTGTTTAGTTAATGTGGAGTATTGGTGTGCTAGTCATGTTCATTCTTGGATGTTTTCTTAATTGGTGGCAACTCATACTAGCAAAGGTACAGGGTGTCCCAAAAAACATAAAGATTAATATACGCTTTATGAGCTTATACAGGGTGTCCCACGAAACATGACTGTTAATGAATAGTTTTAAATGTCTTCTTCCATATACTAAAGAGACTAGTAACATTTTTATATGACAGTTATATTAAAGTAAAATTGATTTCACAGTAAATATATATAGAGTTAAACAATTTTTTAAAGAAATAAACTGCAAAAAGTCTTTAATATCTAATACAGTATGTGGAAGAAGACATCCAAAACTATTCACAAACTGTCATGTTTCATGGGACACCCTGTATGATATAGTCTACATTCTTTGATTATAAATTTAATAATTTTGTATCTTCTTAATTATTGTTAGATTTAAATGAGCACATGTATCCTAACATCTCCGCTTAATTAGAAACTTGAAAATTAGTCGAAGAATATTAAAAATATTTTTTTATATTCTATCATTATTCTACAATACCGAAATGCTACCGAAATAGTACCTAAAAAAAGTACAAAAATATAACCGATGTATTTCCGAATCCGTAGCGAAATATGTATCAGAACAAGTACATACCGAAACCTAACCAAACTTGTACCAAATAAGTACCGAAATATTGCCGAATTAGTACCAAATTTGTACCAAAAAAATGTACATGAAAAGTACATATACACTACCAAAAAGATTGCTAAAATTTATATTTGTTTCTCCTGCTAGATAGTATGCCTGGTTCCATATGTTCTGGGAATGTACATTTCACCTGAAAGTCCCAGGTGGCTTTTTTTACAAGGTAAAACATTGAAAAATATTAAAAATTTATGTTTTTTCTTTATTTTTAATTAAACATATAAATTTGATTATAATTAATACCAGCCCATCACAAAGACATTTTGTTTTTTAACAACAAGCGTCATTTCAAATATGTTTCCTTTTTTCATCACATGAAGGGGAGGTTTATGGACAGTTAGGACGGAAAAATTTTGCCTGAAAAAAATCACCAAAAATGCGCCAATTTCATATTTAAAGAGAAGAACCCGTGAAACTTTGAGAACGATAAAATTGGCGACTTTCAGTTAAGAGCTTTAACTGTTGAAAGGAATGGGGTAGCAAAGAGTCCAAAAAGTTTGAGTTTAAATGTACAGAGCGTCCCATATCATATTAAATTATCTCCAATCTTTAACGCCAAAATACGCACATAATACTCGAAAAATCTAGCATTTTCTGCAAAAAAATGTTTTACTAGCCTTTTAAAATTTTTTCAAATGATTCATTCTTCTTAGATTTTCTGATTTATCCCCCTTAATCATAATTTAGACCTATTGACGCAGTCTAATTTGATGTGGGACACTCTGTATAAATATTCTCTCCCATAGGTAAAGATGAAGAAGGAAGACGAGCTTTGAGATGGTTGAGAGGAGATATTCAGGAGAATATTCTGGAAGAAAAACTGATTAGGTTGGAACTACAGACAAGGATATCAGGTATAGTTAATAGTTTTCGATCGTTTTAAAAACTTTAAAGAATTCAAAACTTTGCAATATTTTTATCCAATGAAATGAAAAAATCAATTGGAACGTTTTGGATATAATTTTTTGTCAGAAAAAAAGTTTGGTATAATGTACGATTTATAATAAACAATTTTGAACACATTTGCTCTGCTAACACCATGCCAAAATTTTCACCTTGACAGAAAATATAATCAACAATCGAACCAGCTGAACCATTGTAGCTGAATAAAATCAGTGATAGCCAATTTTAAAGAATTGATAACAACTTCTTTTCGAGAGGCCGAATATAGGAATAGATAGGATATTTTTTGTTAAGTGCATATTTAATCTAAAACAAGGTGCTTGAGATTTGAAATTTGAAATTTTTTTATTTTTGGTTTAGATGAAGTTAAAATCCGGGAGATGATCAAGGAGCCAGGATTCTTAAAACCTTTTTTAATTGCAGTTTTCATCATGTTCTTTAGGTAAAACAGTTTCGCAGAAAAAAATGTCCAATTTCAACGATACCCTATAAACCTCTTTCAGAAAAAACTGTAAGATATATCTAAAAAATAATTAAAATCCGTTAGTTTTTAATCTCTGAAACAGAAATGCGCAATTCACTTTTACAGAGAAACCATGAAAATGATAAATTTTCAACCAAATTAATTAGGATATCTCATTCTTTATAACCATACAACGCTTTAATGGTACCGTTGTGAATGGAATATGCCTTTGCGGGTGCACAATGGAATTCTTCTCAAACCCTTGAAACAATGTTCCACATTTTTGATCAGATTAAGATTTCAAGGGGTACTGTTGTTAATCGGGCATTGTGATATTTTTGCACGGAGGATCACATTAAATTACGCTTTCAGTCCCTTTAACAAAAATAATTATTTTTTAATTTTTAGAAATATGTCTGGTATGGGGGTAATCATTGCTTATTGTAACACAATCCTGAAAGATTCAGGTAATCAATATTTACAAATTTACAATAAAAAAAAATAAACTGTTTTTTGATAATGTTTGTTTTATGTCAACAATTTATATCTGAGAAACAAGGATTTTGAAGAGTTTTACTTTTATTACAATTTTATTTTTCAAAATCTACAATATAAGATTTTAGGCAAAAAGGAAAACCTGCAATTTTTAAAATCGAACCAAAGAAATATTCTATTGCTGCTCAGTTCTATAGTATTCGTAGTATATATAGATACAATAAAGACGATTTCAATTTTGATTTTTATTAATCTTTTAAACATGGACGCAAAAATAACTGTCAACAGCTTCTCTTTGTTTTTTGTTAACTTGTTAATTAAAAAGCTTATTAGAAATAAACAGTTAAATCGAAAAGAGTCGTTCTTCATTGAATTGATAAAAACGACGACTACTGTATATATTACAACTTATTCTACACGTTCTTAAAATGTAAATTATATTTTCTTTCATTCTTAAAAAGAGCAAACAGTCGAGACAATTTATCTATCTATCATACAACTTGAAACATTATAATATCGGGAACTTGGTATTTTTTTAGAAGGGAGCAGGGGAAGTACTAGCATGCATTCCAGAGAGAGGACGGGCCCAAATCAAAGGACCAAAAACAAATTTGATATTTTTTTCTCTTTCTAGGAACTGAATTCGATGCTAACTTATCTAGTATAACAGTTGGGATTATCCTAGTTCTTTCATGTTTGTTCGCAACTCTTGTTCTCGTCAAATTTGCCAGGTAAGTTTAACCTACAAGGTTACCCATAAAAGGTTGAGAATTCAGAGACGACTGTTCGGAATGTATTCCGTTTTTTCTTGAATTTTTTTATTGTAAATAAACTTATTTCTAACTGTGTTAAACATTGAACATATAATTCACCTTAAACAACTTAACTTAGTCGCATAGTCCATCTTCATCCTTATACTAACAGCTTTAGTTCAGGTTGTTATTAAAGTCTCATCCTTTGTGGGTAACCAGCTGTATCATATTATATTTGGGGAACTAAACATTAAACTAACATTCCATTAGTCTTTACTTTAAACTGAATTATTATGTACAATTCTAATTGTACATAATATTTTTTGTTGTTTTACATGCCTACCGGCCGATCATTTTTTAAAAAATTTTAAGGATTCCTCTTTTTCTTGGTGATTTTCTAATTATTTTGTGGTTAAACATATTTTTAGGCAAAATTAAATGATTTCCACCACATGCACATGCACTGTGGTTTAAAGGTCTCAAGCCCTCAAGCAAAACTCGATGAGAATTTTGCCAATTTCTTCCTAAATGCCAAGCCTAACAACAAGTGCTTTATAGGGCCAAAATGTACATATAATTAGAGGTACAGAAAATCATTCGTGAGTTAGAGCGGTAAAATCAAAGCCCAAGGCGTTGCGACACTTCAAAGTCGACCCTGTCTGAAAGATTGATGAGACTTTTGAAAATCAGTCTGAATCTATGTGCACGGAGTCATGCGGATCCCAGAATCGTCCTTTAGCTGGTTTGAAGTGTTTTGAATACAAACACCCACCCACCCAGCTACAAGCTAAATATATGTATTTAAATGTTATTTTATTAACACAATTGCCCCAAGAACTCTTAACAGTTTTAACTGTTTAAGCTAAAGCTGGTATGATAAACCGTTGGGACAAATTTAAAATCAATTACAAATGTGATTAGAAATTCATGTTTGGAATAAGATTATTATTATAGATTTATTTCGTACACAAAGGTAAAATGGTAGAATATGACAAAACAAAAACAAGAATAAAGTATAATATACAAATAAAGTTTCTAGTCGGAACATAAAAAGCTGATCATGGTTGCGATCTCATTATCATCAAAGTTGTTTAGAACAAAATTATCTTCTTTGACTTTAAGTAATTCATGAAGAATGGGTAATTTCCATTCTTGGTCAAAAGGAATATGATTGTATATCATATTTTGTTTCACTCAAAATTTGTTCTGATTTCTAGATTGTACATTACAACCTTGTGCAAAAGATTCAAGATTTTTAACAGTTCTTAAATCACAAATTGTACAATGTAATGTGTATAATTGGATTAGGAAAACAGTTCTGGTGATATCTATGTTTCGATTAGGATTATAAAAAGAATAATGTGGGATTAGAAAAACAGTTTTAGTGATATCTATGTTTGGAATGGGATTATAAAGTGTATAATGGAATTCGGAAAACAGTTCTAGTGATATCTATGTTTGGAATAGGATTATAATGTATATAATGGGATTAGGAAAGCAGTTCTAGTGATATCTATGTTTGGAATGGGATTATAATGTATACAATGGGATTAGGAAAGCAGTTCTAGTGATATCTATGTTTGGAATGGGATTATAATGTGTATAATGGGATTAGGAAAGCAGTTCTAGTGATATCTATGGTTGGAATGAGATTATAATGTGCATAATGGGATTTGGAAAGCAGTTCTAGTGATATCTATGTTTGGAATAGGATTATAATGTTTATAATGGGATTAGAAGAGCAGTTCTAGTGATATCTATATTTGGAATGGGATTATAATGTATATAATGGGATTTGGAAAGCAGTTCTACTGATATCTATGTTTGGAATGGGATTTTAATGTGAATAATGTTATTTGGAAAGCAGTTCTGTTCTACTGATATCTATGTTTGGAATGGGATTTTTAGTTTTGATGTAAATAATAGGATTTGGAATACAGTTCTTGTAATATCTTTGTTTGGAAAGGGATTATAATGGGTAAAATGGTTTTAGGAAAGCAGTTCTTGTAATATCTATGTTTGGAAAGGGATTATAATGGTTAAAATGGTTTTAGGAAAGCAGTTCTTGTGATATCTATGTTTGGAATGGGATTATAATGGGTAAAATGGTTTTAGGAAAGCAGTTCTTGTGATATGGGTAAAATGGTTTTAGGAAAGCAGTTCTTGTGATATCTATGTTTGGAATGGGATTATAATATGTAAAATGATATTAGGAAAGCAGTTCTTGTGATATCTATGTTTGGAATGGGATTCTAATATGCAAAATGATATTAGGAAAGCAGTTCTTGTGATATCTATGTTTGGAAAGGGATTATAATATGTAAAATGATATTAGGAAAGCAGTTCTTGTGATATCTATGTTTGGAATGGGATTATAATATGTAAAATGATATTAGGAAAGCAGTTCTTTTGATATCTATGTTTGGAATGGGATTATAATATGTAAAATGATATAAGGAAAACAGTTCTTGTGATATATATGTTTGGAAAGGGATTATAATATGTAAAATGCTATTAGGAAAGCAGTTCTTGTGATATCTATGTTTGGAATGGGATTATCCTTCACAGTTCTAGGTTTCTACTTCCAAACTCTGGAAGCTGAGAAGGAAAATAGTTTCGAAGGTAAATAGATAAAAATCCACGAAAAAATCTTTATTTTTTTATTAAATTATATTCTCAGTAAAATTTGTATTGTTTGAAAAATTTGATTTTCTTTACTGATTTTTTTTATTTTTATAATGTTGTTGTTGTTTTTGTTTTAGTTTTTGATGTTGTAGGTGTAATTATTGTGCTGTTGCTGTTGTTGTTGTAGTTGTAGAAATAGTAGTGGTTACTTCTTTGCTGTTGTTGATGTTTTTGTTGTTGTTGATTTTGATATTGTTGTTTATGCTGTTGTTGTTGATGCTGATTTTGATATTATTGTTGATATTGCTGTTGTTGTTGTTTTATTGTTGTTGTATTCATGGTGTGGTTGTTTTTTATGTTGTTTTTACTGCCGATGTTGTGGTTGTAGAACTGTTGTTGTTTTTGTTGGAATTGCTGTTAATGTTGTTGTTGTGGTTGATTTTGATGATGCATAGGCATGTATGGTGTTCTAAATATGCAGTACAGATGGGTTCCATGTACTGCAATCCTTGCATTACTGTTCCTTGGCAATAGTGGATATGGAACCTTAGGTAAACCACTCTAAGCTTTAGGTGCGTACCATATATAACCATATATTACCATATATTACCATATATTACCATATATTACCATATATTACCATATTTTACCATATATTACCATATATTACCATATATTACCATATATTACCATAAAGAAATTAAAATTTTGAAACAAACTCAAATATAATAATCACCATATCTTTCAAACCTTTAATATTTCAAATTAAAAATATTTTATCTGACAAAATGCATAGTTAAAAATATCAAAGGTCTACGATATCAGGTTGCATGGATAAAGAGATCAAAATATTCGAGTTTGTGTCTAAATCTGTGTACTTAATATTTTTAGCTTGTAGGTAGCATTGTGTACTTTATAATTAATTTTTTATGATTATTTAATAATACTGTGTTAATACTTTTTTATTTCTATTTTGTAATTGACAGGTGCTCTTCTGTACTTAGCACTAGATATTTCCTAATTAGTATTTTTTGTAATGAATAGTTTTTTTTAGTTAGTAATTGCTCTTGTGTACTTTGTACTGAACAATTTGCTATATTGTCAGCATTACTGCTTTCTTTGTACTGAACCATTTGTAATATTGTAAATAGTGGTTGATAATCGTTTTTTATTTCAATTGTTTTATCAAGACAAATAACCTGAATGTTTTTGACCTAGGATTTTCCGACCAAAAACTATATTTTGTCTTTAAGAGTCGTCGTTAATGGTCGTCAACGAGGGGTTGTTTTCAGGAACGATCGTTTGAAAAACGAAAAGCAATCGTTTTTAAAAACAACTGTTTTTTAAAACCGAAAAACGATCGTTTTTGAAAACGAACGTTAAAAAAAGAAAGAACGAAAGATTGTTTTTGAAAATGACCGTTTTTATAAAACGACATTTATTAGAATAAGTTTGTTTTTTTAAAACGTTCTTTACGTTTTTGGTTTTTTCTTCTTCGTTTTTATAAAAAAGCGATCTTTTTTCAAAAAAGTGAAAACGATCCATCCCTAATAAGGATTCTGTAGGGGATTAAATTATATTAATGTTATTAAATGGTTTTAGTTGGGTTTGATTTGCATTTTCCACTCATTTCTGGCATTTACAAACTCCATCAAATAAAGGCAATTAATTTCCTACCTTTCAGCTTTCACATTGTTTTATATCCTTCATTATAGTAATTCATTTTAGATTAACTACAAAGATCTGTAAAAAAAACTAAATTCATTTTAAGTAACATAAAAAATAGTTTTACTCTAAGAGGAAAAAGATGTCACTTTTTTAAATCTTTAGAAAAGCTACTCTGCAAAACTTAAAAAAATATTGTCTTTGTATATTCTAATTTCTAATTTCTTAAATTTTCTTGTCGTCAATATGTTAATTTCACTATACTAAAAGAAAAATGTCTTACTTTTTAAAATTTAATTCTTAATAATCTTGATCTTTTAACATTTCATCCCCCCCCCCTGGAAGAGCTTTATACTTAATCTGACATATAGTACCCTACTGCATTAAAAAACTCGATTTTTTTTACATTTTTCCTTTTAATGGTAATCATGAACATGGAGAATGGAGATCAAGTTACTAAACGGGGATGTTTGTGTCCCCAAGATTCTAGGGGGGGGGGCGGGGGGGGGGGAAGTAACCCACCTTATTTACGCCACTGTACTTGTGTGTACTTTTAGCTTAGCCAAGTCTAAATAAAAAATATATTTCTTTTAAATATATATTCTTCAGTTTGGGTTGTTATTGCTGAAATTCTACCAAAGAAGACGAGGTAAAGGATGGATTGAATAAAAAACAAATGGATTTCTATGAAATATGAACCCTTGAACCCAACATAATACTTCAAAAATAGAAACAATATATCTCAGCTCCTTTCAACAGGATATCGGAGAATTTTTTTTTAGATCACAAATTTTTTCTGTCATTTTTTTTTCCTGTTTTATCAATATTAATTTTAAACCAATCAAACTTTTAAACCTTTAGATGTAGGTTGACTATTTATTAAAAGTTTAAACATTCAAAGTTTTGATTTCAATGAAAATGCTTTTAAAATAAAAACATAATTTCTAGACAGAAACAAAGCTACTTCCCTTAAATCAACCTAAAAATGTAAATTTGTGTAACTTTTAAACCACATAGAAAAATTGAGGTGGCTCAATAAAAATCATTGCTCGACTAAATTCTATCGTCTGCAGCAGTAGATTTTATATTTAGTTTGATTAAGCATTTTGAAGTAAAGAAAATAGTTTTACATTTCTTGAATGAATTATTTAAGACTGCAAAATCTCCTTTTATCCTTTATCATCCCTTATGGGTGACCAAAATCAAACTTTCCACCGTGTAATGAGTGGCGACCCATACCTTTTATATTTTTTAAAATTAATTTTCGGATTTTTAACCAAAAATATGGAAAATTGCATCCATCTAAATCTTAAAACTCTTTTTTTATTTTAGATCTTTGGCGAACTCAATTATAATATTCATCGCGTACCTGATAGGAAACCAATTCATATACAAACACAGGGGATTAAATACTTAGCTTTTAAAAAAATTATATTTATCAATTTTAATATTTTTTTAAACCCTCAACCCCAAAGTACAAAGTTTTATCTTGAAAGAGTCACGATTTAATTCTTGGTTATTAAAATTTGAAATAGAAGAAGGAAAAAATATTTTGCTTACAGTCCCTTTAATAACGACCTAAAAATAATTGATTTGGAAAAAAAGAAAATTTACAGTTTCAGGGAACCATAAATTGTAAGCAAATATATATATATATATATAATAAAAGTCGTCTCTGAAGTCTCCTCCTTCATGGATAACCCTGTCTATAACCCTGCAAGGTTCATTAACCTAAGCCTAAACTGAGGGGTCCAGAAAGCACAATCAACTTGAATCATACTTAAAATTGGTTTGGTAAAAATCATCATGAAAATCCGCTAAATTATAGACAAATAGAAACCCTTTTATCGTACTATAGTAAAGCTAACGTTTTCCTGGATAAAATATGATGAATTGTTTGCTTAGGATTCATCTCAACAAAATCATTCATTGATCTCACATTACTTCTTCAAGAAAGCGGAGCTTTCTACTTTTATTCAGCAGGTTAATCTAGGTCTAGGTCCAGGTCTAGGTCTAGGTCTAGGTCTAGGTCCAGGTTTAGGACCAGGTGGCCAGGTCTAGGTCTAGGTGTATAATAAATATTAATATGTTTAGTATGCATGCTGGGAGCTGTGTTTACTATTGTATTTGTACCAGAAACACGCGGGAAGTCTTTACAAGAAATAGAACTGCAGTTTAGTAAAAAATGACTTATAAATTGTTAAATAATTTGATATTTCATTTTAGTTAATTTGTAATGATTGTAAAAGCATATGTTTAATACCTCTTAATATAAACTGAAGTAAATTCAGGAATAAAGTCACGTTAAACTGAAATAATTTCAGGAATAAAGTCACGTTATACTGAAGTAAATTCAGGAATAAAGTCACGTTAAACTAAAGTAAATTCACGAATAAAGTCACGTTAAACTAAAGTAAATTCAGGAATAAAGTCACGTTAAACTGAAGTAAATTCACGAATAAAGTCACGTTAAACTGAAGTAAATTGCGCGAACTATTTAACTATTTGCAGTGAACAAACGAAAAAAAACTTTTAATTCAAAAGTTTATATTTTATCAAAAAAAAAAAAAAAAAAGATTTTAAAGCGAGAAACCCTCCAGGCCCCAAGCGTAGTTTTAATTGTAATGAATTTGCAAATTAGAAAGTGTTGTTAAAGACCGCCAAGCAAAGTTTGTATCTGAGAATAAACTTTGAAAAACTTTCTAATATAATTACTAACTTAAAGGAACCTACTTAAGGATCAAGGAAAACTTTAACTTCTGAAAATATTAAGAACATTAATAAAACTTTAAAACACACTGCTGCTATAATGTACAGCTAACTATAACGATGATAACCGTAAATAATGAAATGTACCATGAAGTGACCATGAATGATAAAGTACAAAAAATATACATAAACTATTTTATTGAAAACAGTAACATCTCGGGGTTAATTATTTATCTAAACAATTATCACATGATTACATCAAACACCATTTTTACAAATATTTCCTAATTATATCAAATTGCTAAACATGTAAATATTGTTGCTATTGCATTCCAATAAATAAAATACATTATCACATTTAATAAATATTAAATTATAAATTATAAATATCTTAGGGTTGCATAAAAACAATTTAGCAGAAGGGTATCACAAAAGTACTTCCCCCCCCCCCATTATTCCTACATAGGTCGCTTGATTTTTCTTCCATGTGGTGCTGCCGTGGTTTTGATTGATTATAGATTTTTTTTATCTAACTGCATTTTTAGAGTGTGCATCATGAAATATTAATTTGCAATAAAAGAATGGAAGGAGAAAAATCTGAAGCTTCACTAGAATCTAAAATCTTTTACTCTCCAATTTGTTTTCGCACTTTTTAAAAAAGCAAATATTGCTTTTGGCCCAGATCTTTTAAAACTTTTCTTCTTTTAAAATCACATTTGATTATGAACCTTTCATTTGAAAACGCTTTTTGTAAAAAAAATGTTCAAACAATACTGAATCAGAATATGAGAAATGAATCCAGGTTTAATGTGGAATGGCTGGTTTTTTTGTCATTGTAAAAGAAAATGAATCAAAAACCTCCCTGAGAAGTTGAGACCTTCAAAGTTATTCTACAATATTTCCAAAATGAGAATTTAAATTTAAAACAATAAAAGATCTTCAAGCAATTCATTTGACCGGGGGTTTACAATGAGAATAAAAATGAAACTGTTTATTTTCCTGTGACCAAATTTGAGCTACGTCGGTGAACTAGCTTTATACCGGTTCAAATTGAAACCACCGAGTAAAAGTTTAAGCTTCAGAAATGATTTTAATCGGTGATTCAAAATTAAACCAACGGTCTGAGCAGTTTAGGGAACCCCAAAATTCATTTAAGGAATTGAGTCTTCGCCACAAACTCAAATTTTCTAATCCCTATAACTTTGCAACTGCAAACTTAACAGAGATATGAAAATCAGAGTTTGTGGCAAAGACTCTGAAATAAAATCTATGGCTAATGTTTAGCCAACAACAATGTCTTCAGTTAAGCATAGGAATCCTAGAATCATGTCTCAATCCTTTAACAATCAGAACTTCAATTTCTGCTAGATCACAAAGTCAAATTTTAATAATCAACAGCTTACACCATCAGCAGGTTTCCAAACCACAAAGAGTATGGATTGATTGATTTTAAGTTTCCAGATTCCAAATTTCCAATGATCACGTGGCATGCGCGCAATTCATCATAGTTTAAAATATTTATATGCGCGCTAGGATATGGTGCACATATTCACATGCGCGGATTTTCCAATGCTTGGTTTCAAAGATTCCGATCTTCTTTTTAATCCTTCCAGGTACACATGTCTATACAGGATTTATAATTATTCAATCAATCAATCAATTAATCCATCTAGGTACGCATGTCTGTACAGGATTTATCTTTAATCAATCAATCAAATGGTCAATCAATCAATCAATCCAGGTACACATGTAATTGCAAGATTTATTTTTATTAAATCAATCAATCAATCAATCAAGATATCAATCAATCAATGCATCAACCAAATTACCCATCGATATACAAATGTCTATACAAGATTTATAATTATTCAATCAATCAATTTTTTAATCAATCATTAAATCAATCAGTTAATTCCTCCAGATACACGAGTCTATACAAGATTTATTATCAATCAATCAATAAATATTTCAATCAATCATTAAAGCATTCAATCAATTCCTCCAGATACATGTGTCTATACAAGATTGATTATCAATCAATCAATCGATCCCCCAGGTAAACATGTCTATAAAGGATTATTATTATTCCATCAATCAATCAACCAATCAACCATTATATTAATTAATCTCTCCAGGTAGACATGTCTATACAAGTTTTATTATTAACAAATCAATCTACCAATAAATCAGTTAATTCCTCCTAAAACACACATCTCTCTATTGCACGGTAAATTATTAATCAATCGAATGATCGATCAATCAATTAATAGATTAAACAATTAATCAATCTACCAATATATTAATTAATCTCTCCAGGAATTCATGTCTATACAAGTTTTATTTTAGACAATGAATCCATCAATTAATCAATTAAAATCTCCAGTTGCATGTGACTATACAATGAGTATTAATAATCAATTCATGGATCGACAAATCAATAAATCAATCAATTAATTTCATCAGATGCACATGTTTATACAAGATTTATTATTAACAATATATCAATCAATCAATCTACCAATCAATCAATCCCCCCAGGTACACACAGGATTTATTGTTAACAAATAAATCGATAAATCAATCATTAATCAAGTAATAATTCGATCAACCAACAAAAATCTACCAAACAAAAAAATGAATTCATAAATCAATCAACCAATCAACCAATCAATCAATAAACCAACAGATGAATCAAGCAAATAACAACAACTAATAAAATTATTGATCTAGCAATGAAACAATTAATGCTATGATTTCATAATCATAATCACTAAAACTTCCATTCTGATCTTGATAGTTGATGAAGCATTCTTAATTTCATGTTTAAAGTATCAATCTTAAGTAATCAATCAACAAATTAGTTCTAAATTAATCAAACAAATCATGAAAAACATCACATTATACGAGGGAAGTCGATAATGTCAATATAATGAAGACGACTTTTTTATTTAAATTTTATTGTGAACAAGTTTTTCCGAATTACAAGTTTACAAGTAACTAAAGAGAAGCTTTTTTGATTGACAGCTTCTCTTTGTTTCCACTATTTGTGTGTTCATGCTGTTTAAAAGCTTGATATAAATCAAAATTAAAATCGAAAGTCGTCTTCATTGTATTGATATATTCGCCTACCATTGTAGAATGTATATTATTATTGTAATCACCATTTGCTCAAAATTTAAACTATCAATCTATAAATTATCGTTAAACCAACATAAAAGGTTTTCCTTGTTAATTTGTTTATCTGTTTATTGATTCATCTGAAATATATCTTCAATGTATGATTTAGTTAAATGGTTTACCTGTTGAAGAGTCCCCCAGCAAGGGGAACTGAATCCTTTCCAGGTCTAATCCCAACCTCAAACATTCCCCATACAGGTTTATGATCACTAGTAACTACACCTAAACACAGGTTTATGATCACTAGTAACTATACACCTAAACACAGGTTTATCATCACTAGTAACTATAACTAAACACAGGTTTATGATCACTAGACCTAAACATAGGTTTTTGATCACTAGTAACTATACACCTAAACACAGGTTTATGATCACTAGTAACTATACACCTAAACACAGGTTTATCATCACTAGTAACTATAACTAAACACAGGTTTATGATCACTAGTAACTATACACCCAAACACAGGTTTATGATCACTAGTAACTATACACCTAAACATAGGTTTATGATCACTAGTAATTATACACCTAAACATAGGTTTATGATCACTAGTAACTATACACCTAAACACAGGTTTATGATCATTAGTAACTACACCTAAACACAGGTTTATGATCACTAGTAACTACCCCTAAACTCAGGTTTATGATCACTAGTAACTATACACCTAAACACAGGTTTATGATCATTAGTAACTACACCTAAACATAGGTTTTTGATCACTAGTAACTATACACCTAAACACAGGTTTATGATCACTAGTAACTACACCTAAACACAGGTTTATGATCACTAGTAACTATACACCTAAACACAGGTTTATGATCACTAGTAAATATACACCTAAACACAGGTTTATGATCACTAGTAACTATACATCTAAATACAGGTTTATGATCACTAGTAACTATACACCTAAACACAAGTTTATGATCACTAGTAACTACACCTAAACACAGGTTTATGATCACTAGTAACTATACACCTAAACACAGGTTTATGATCACTAGTAACTATACAACTAAACACAGGTTTATCACTAGAAACTTGAATTTGAAATGTCTGCCATGCCTACCACCGGTTCAAATTTGAATTACAGATTCAAATCATTCCATAATCTTTAACTTAATCGGTGGATTAAATTTGGACAGGCAGTAGTATGTTCAGCGACTAACCACAAATTAATCAAATTCGAATTGGGGTTCCTATGGCTACAAATAATATAAAAACTAAAATTCAAACACAGGGCAAGGAAAGGTAACAGTAATTTTCCTGTGTAAATAACAAATATATTAATACAGTTAATACTGAACATGAAGAGAGATTTGAAGCACAACATGAGAGAATAGTTAATGTTTATTTTATTATTGAATATGTTAATAGGAAAAGAAAGAAAAAGTTAATTATTAAAAAAAATGTGTGTGTGTAAATAGATAGATAGCTGATAAGAAGTGCTTTTTGTTTAATTGTTCTTCTACTTAACTACCAATGTACCCTATGCAATACAACAATTATTAACAAAATAAAGCTCTTAGCTCATAAAAATATATATATATATATCTGACAAGTAATACAAAATAATTTGTAAAACAATGTAAAACACTATTAGTTTTAGCTGTATGTTATATATTTCCATAATAAAAAGACCTCAAACTAGGGTAAATATGATCAAATTGTTTAAGGTAAAAAGATATAAAGCAATTCATTCATGTCTTTTTAAGTAGAAATACATCCACATTATACGACTGAATTCAAATCTAATACAAAACTTTATACTCACAAAGAGTGTATTACTGTATACTCTTTTTATGTTTAAATTTTATAGTGAAACCTCATTCATAGATTGTCAAGTACTTAACAATCTATTTGCTTTAACCTATTTTCTAAAATATTAAGAATATGGATAAATAAATACCTTGAACACTGTCATAATGAAGAGGTTTAACCCTTGTACCGGGGTGATGCTTGTATAGAACCCTATAATACAGTTTATATTATTTAAAGAGATTCTTTCCGAAATGTGAGCTGTGACCTTTCATTAATAGAGTGTCATATCGGATTCACAATGGTACCCTTTAAATGCTTATTTCGACAACAATTAAGAAGCTTGAAATGTGTTAACAATAAGTTGAAGAATCCCAAATATGCTGTAGCACAACAAACTATTCTAGAGTTTGCTTTTACCATTTTTTCGTGAAGCTAGGTCACAGCTTGATACAAAGGTTGCAAGCTTCACGCAAAAAATAATGAGGAATTTTATTTCTTAAAGGGACTGTAAAGGAAAAATGAAAGGTGGTATAGGAAAAACCTGAGAATCTAAGGCGTATAATTTTGACACAGTTTTATATCAATTTCTCGAAACAGGAACATCAGATAGATGTCTTGCAGGTATCGTTCAACGCCTGAGATTCTCAGGTTTCATCCTATACCCCTTTCATTTTTCCTTTACAATCCCTTTAAAAACTAAAGCTAAACATGAGTGTTTAATATTCTATGGAAGGACAACGAGGTTATAGTGTATAGTGATGATGTACGCTAATTCTTTACTAACTATATAGGCCATAAACTATACCGAGAGCGTACTGCATATTTGTTTATTATAAGTTGATTCTGGCCTAACCTATAGTATATCAATACTAGAAAACAGTTGTAAGTGTACAGTACAGCTAACTGAGCACACAGGTAGAAAACTATCATCCCCCCTGTGAAAGGACTATAACAAAGTACAGTTGAGTTTGTAGTGTCACAGCACTGATCGAGACGTTACGAGACTTCAAGTCGACCCAGTTATTCAGGTTTATAAACAATTTCTTTGGTCAGTAAAAAACAATAGTTTTTTCAAAATCTTTTGTTAATTAGTTTGTTTAGTAAAAAAAAGTCCGTTCGAACGATTTTAAATCGTTCGTTTTTTCGTTAGTTTTATATTTCTCTGTACGATCCAAATCTTGATCGTCCATCGTTCGTTATATTCTGACGACAACATCGTTCACGAAAAATTACGATCGTTCTGAAAACGATGTCGATCTCTTCTTGTAATACCTGTCTGTATAGGAAGGAATTCTCTGTTTAGTAGAAGTATCAAATTCATCTGTCCCTGGATCATATTTATAAGTGGGACGGAACAAAATAGGATGCTCTCGAAATCCTCTAAAAATAAAAACAAAAAATTATAAAAGATTAAAAAGGCTTTGGTCGTCAAAAATGGATTTATTGTTATTTTTACTTAAAAGAAAAACACAGTGAGTATAAATTTGAAGATTAAAACCATTAAATCAGATATGTATTATGTACAGGGTTACCCACAAAGGATGAGACTTCAGAGACGAATATGGGGTTTTTTTGTCACATTGTTGGTCCTCTGCACATTCACACTTGTGTATTTCTTTTTTAAATCTTCAAAAATACCATTAAAGAAAACCCCAATTTGCTGTTACCAAAGAGCTCCAGGTTGTCATTAATGTCTCATGTGTGGGTAACTCTGTACGTGATTTAAGTACGCAGTTTAGGGAAAGGAACACTCGTCAGAAACTTTGATTTTATAACCCTTTATCTCTGCAACTTGATTGTAGAAACCTTTAATTATTTAAACTGTTGGAAATATAGTATGCCATATCAAAGATCTATGTTCAGGTTGCAACTTGCAAGATATAAGGATTAGACAATTAAAATGAGCGCTCTATTCCAATTGATAATGTAAAAAAAATACGGGGTTTGACCTAAAAACTGTTCCTTCTGACATTAGCCATGTTAGTTGATCTGTTTCTAGTACGCTTAATCCATCCTGAAACAGATAATATGTCTAGTACGCTTAATCCATCCTGAAACAGATAATATTTCTAGTACGCTTAATCCATCCTGAAACAGATAATATTTCTAGTACACTAAATTAATCCTGAAACAACACTGCATGACTCAGTTCAACTACCTTACATAGCCGGTCTGTCCCTTTAAGTTATGACATTTATTACTTAAGTAAATGATCTATTCTTTAAAGTAAAAAAGGTCCAAAACTACGTTTGCTCAATTTTGCCAGCAAGCAATCCAGGAGACTGAACTCCCGATATTTCATCGAATTACTAAATGTGCCAACACCTTTATATTAGTAAAACTTTGCAAGATCAGCTAAATTTAAAACTTTAGATTGAAATATATAAAACTATTTTTTCACTAGATTAATTAATAAACTAAGCTATCAAGGCCGGCTTCGCGCCCATCTTCTATTTTAATCTTAAACTGTTTCTAAATCATTCAACATTTTCTCTTTGATAAACAATAATAAAAAGTTTTCCGGATTTACGTGTTTTTTTTTAATTTTACAGAAATCATAAATTTTTAAGGACAATTATTGTAATTCTGAGCATCAATAAACCTTCCCTTGGGTCATGCGAGGTCTTACATCAAATTTGGGCTCGATCGGTTCAGCCGTTTTCACGGTTATCATTATAACAAACAAAAAACCTATAGACAAGCAAAGTATATACTAGCTTGGGAATCCAGCTTTGCCATAGCGATCTAATCAATTTTTCAAACCAGGCTAAGAAAGTTGTCTTGATAAATTTTAATTCATTTTCTATCTACCTATGTATTAAACGCCTACTCCATAACAAGTTCTCGAAACGTATCTATCCAGGTACTATCCGTCCGCTATCAAATTCAACCAGGACTGAATCCACGGCTCTAAATGCCACAGAGGGGCCCAAGCCTAGCTATCACAATCCAGCTATAATGCAATTTTCTAAATGCCGCACAGAGACACAAGCCTAGCTATACAACAAGCTATATATCAATCCCAAATGACGGGGACAATCCAGTGCTCTAAATGCCACACAAAGACACAAGCCTGGCTATCAACAAGCTATATTTCGATCTCAAATTAACCGGGACGATTCCACCTGGTTATATCAACACAGGGTTTCAGGATTACTCTCTCGTAATAATCAGTACGGAGTTACTCATATAAACTGAGGTGTTTAGATTATAATTGAGTCATTAAGAGCGTAATTACAAGTTATGCGCTGTTATATATAAGGTAGTTAAACAATCACAATATGGATACGGAGTTATAGTACATAAATTCTACGTACATGGAATTGGTTAATTGCAATACAGGATCTGCATCATTTACTATATGAACTAGGTACGACGGAAATTACAATGGGCCTCAATTTTGCTACACCTATCTATCTATTTATATGTCTGTTTATTTTTTCTATCTATCTATCTATCTATCTATATATCTATCTATCTATCTATCTATCTATCTATCTATCTATCTATCTATATATCTATCTATCTATCTATCTATCTATCTATCTATCTATCTATCTATCTATCTATCTATCTATGTATATATCTATCCTATTAATTACCTCAATATCTCTGATGATTTCTTCTCTAGATTGCTCCAATCTAAAATTAATGGAATTAATTGAAAACAATTTCAAACAAAACTAAACTTGAAAAAGGAACACTAAACTAGAAAAAGGAACACTAAACAAGAAAAAGGAACACTAAACTAGAAAAAGGAACACTAAACTAGAAAAAGGAACACTAAACTAGAAAAAGGAACACTAAA